GTGTGAGCAGCAAAACTGCCCTGGGACCAGCTGCAAGGGAAAAAGGTACACAGGAGGTGGAGGAGACAAGACCAAAAGGTGAATTTGTATGGACTTGTGTGCAGTGTTGTGGGTAAAGAAAGCAAGCTGAGTTCCGTGGCAGAGAGACAAAATACTTTTGCAAAGGTATTTTGGAGGAATTTGAATAAAAGAGGCCAGAAAGAGGAGTCAGCAGTAGTCAGGGGAGAATGCAGAAAGGATGTGAGCTTTGGTTGTTGCAAGAAAGGCAAATGGCTTCTCATATTCATATGCTCTATGGCTGTAAATTGGGAGTAGCATAGGCTCTCTATTTTACAAACTCCTTTTTTCAGAAATAAGTTTGTGAGCCAAAGCAAAGGAAAAAGATGAATGGATTGCAATAATTGCCATTTAACATAAAAATACATAAAATTTACAATTCAGTTAACTTATCAAATGTTAAAAAAAAATCAGCAAATAATGGACATCATTTGTTTTGTTCAGAGCTCAGAGGTAGAGACCAAATTCTGTAAATTAATTTCTGCAAAAGCTGTTTTTTTGTGTGCTTTTTTCTTTTTTTTTTCTTCAAACAGGTCTGGATCCTATTCGTTGTAGAATATACTGATTACCAACTATTTTTAAGAGCTTTACACAAACATTATTTCTTTTGTTGTGTGAAATGCAGAATCAGCCATCTGGCAAATGCCCCAGAGCTAAAATCTTTTACATGACATATAATTCAAAATGATTAAATATACAACAGAAAATAGCTATAGCATTGCACTTAAAATAGCATGAACTTTTACTGCCGATCAAAACTGATTTCTTTAGCTTAACAAGTATCCAAAGAACAATTATTTGAAGAGCTTTTAAGAGTTTCAATATGTAGGAACCAAACCTCATCTAAATTCAGTGTCTTAAGTCAAATAAAAAAGAAACAAATGTACAAAAGATTAAATGGTCCTGTGTTGTAAGTAGACATTTAAATCGATGGGAAGCTAAATTCATGTGAACAAAAATACTGTATCCCTTGTGTGTGTGTTGCTGGGGCTTTCCTCTCCTTAGCAATAGGGGCATCTGCCAAAACAGCTCCTACATTCTTAGGCAATGATTGGGGACTAGCCTGGAATCAGAGCGCTCATCCACTGCCTCCATCATCAGGGTGGTGATTTCAAAGAAGAGCAGCGAAGAAACATCAATGTGTGCTCCCCAACTCCAGCCTTTTTTTCATTTTTATTTTTTCCTTTTTTCCCTGCACTGCACTCAACTCCAAGTTACACTTGCTGTCTTTCTCCAGAAATACTCCAGGCCTGAAAAACTGCCAGGTCCTTACCCTGCGCCCAGTTCTCCAGTAGCTTATGAGAAAGGCACACAGACGTGCGTGTGCTCTTCGGGGTGCATGAGGGTAGGTACAGAAATATTGCCCAGTGCAATTACTGAGGGGTTATGGTTGTTCCACACAAGTCAAAGTCTCCATTTCTCAGGCAGCACCAGGTGCAGGTCGCAGCAGATTTCAGTCAAAGAAGCCTAAATGTAGCAGATTTATCTCGTGGACTTTCACACTTGGATAAGCCTGATATGGGTGAAAACATCTCTGCTGAATTTGAAAAAATTGCTTTTAAATCCTTTCAGGCCTCCATCCCACATTAATGGTGGGAGGTAACTCTAAGTCCATGATTACTAAGGCTTAGAATTACAAGGTGTTCCAATCTTGCCTGTGGAGTTGGGTCACCCTCAAAACCAAGGAAAACTGGATGGTCTAAAACCAGCCTTGTTAAAACTAGAATGAAATAATATTCTTGAGTCTTGATCTTTTCAGCTTTTAATGATTCCTCAAGCAGGTCTTTTCCTGTTGCTTTCTACGAGATGTTCAGGCTTCTAGAAATCCTAGGCTGATTGCTGGCTGGCTTGGGACTGCAGCAGCACCAAAACCTTTTCTCTTAGTGGGCACTTGCCTTGGCTTTTTGGGCCTAATCCTGCTCTTAGTAACATGCATGTTAGTTCAGCGACCTGACTGAGTTATAGAATAAAGGCAGGCTTTGTGTCTTCCTATTCTTGGTCTCATACAAAGAGATGCACGTGTTTCAGGTAATACTGACTGCAGTGCAGAAAGCTGCCACCCTACGCACTGCACTCGTACTAATTTAACCTGAAAATGGAACGCAGAAGTAGAAGCACAAATTTTCTCATATTGCAAAGAGCAAAAGTGTGTTTCATACTATTTAACGCAGCATCAGGAGAGCTGCAGGAGAAACGGGGCAATTTTCATCAGAAGTATCTTTGCTTTTCATCAGAAGAGAGGTGACCCAGGCGATCTCCTATCGTGCTTCCCTCCGGAGAACAAGATTTCTATTTCTGACAGTATTTTCTCTTTGAAAATGATGGGCCTCTCCAATATTCAGGGGTCCTAAAACTTGAATCATTTCTCTTCTTTTATCAACCTGCTTTGCGTTGAACATAACATCATATATTTCCTACTTCCCCCTGAAAAATTGGGAAATCCACCTCTCTTTCTGTTGACTCAACCCTCTTACAGAGGTGCCAGGAGACCAATTTCTGGGAGAGGAAAAAAAAAAAAAAGAACACTGACTGAAACAGGAGTCCTGTCCCAGTGCCTATTCAAAACAAACAGTGTATCTCCTTACAAACCAGTATTATTATTCTTATTTATGTGCCTAATTTTGTGTACTTCGCAATACTAGAGAAAAAAAAGAAAGATTGAAGATCATACGAAGAATGAAGAGAAATTTGAGCATCCCCAAGGAAACAGAGGTTTGGGGATGGAGTAATAACTGCAAGACTGCAATGAGAATTTGGAAAACTTTGCTAGAGTATAACAAAACTGCTGCTGTCATTTCATTCTCTGGGCCTGATTATATCTTCACGATGGGCCTTTGCTCTGCTTTACAGTAAGAGCTCTTTAAGTAAATGAGGATCAGACCTCCGTGCTAGCGAAATGCAAAGCTTGCCAAATTCAATAGGAGTCTCTACGGTATTCTATGAACACTCATCTTGACAAAGAAGTGGTGGAAGCAAACTCTGCAATTGTAAATGGAGACTATTTTTTTTCCAGTCTTCTGGAATGATAGCTGGGTGCTGCCAGTTTGGCAGGAAAGTCAGTGCCAAGGCAGTATGCTTCCTTGCTCTGTTTCCCAAACGGCCAAGAAACAATCAGAAATTGCTTCATAATAGGGCCAGGGTGAAAGGTGAGAACTGGAGTATTCTTTATGCCTGCTTCCAGACCTGAGGAAGATAGTGTCGTTTTGGTAAACCTGTCAAGCTGTTGTAAGAACTTCCTGAATGCTTCCTACCATCTGCTTTTGATGCTTTCAAGACTTGGCTGGAAGCCTGGAGGTTTTCCTGCTCCTTCCTGCCCAACCTATAATGGAGTAATTCTGGATCTGTTCCCTGTCATTCCAGCCTCTTCCTCAGTTTCTTCTGCTTACAGCTGGGCTTTTTTAGTTTTTTTTTTTTTTTTTAACTACAGTGGCCTTGTGCCCTGAATCATCTCTCCCGGGGCAGAAAGTGTTCCTCTGATGTTGAACAAGTGCTGGGTTTTTCAATTGTGTTCATGTTCTTAAGAGGAAGGGTCTGGCCTACATGACACATTCCTTCTTCACACTCACATCAACAAGGTTAACTTTGTGTCCCGGCTTTGCAGGGAATGGTCACACAAAGCACATCTCCAGCAATGCTGTCCGACCGCACGCTGCGCCGCTCTGGGCAGTGAATATTGATTGATATAATTCGTAGGGTTTGAGATAATTGTCATCAAGGACAATGAGTTCAAAGAACAGATTAAAAAACAATAAATTGAATTCCAAGGCGTTCCCTCCTGTACTAATCTGTGTAGGTTCCTGTGTTTTTGGAAAGCATGTTGCTTATCTTCCTCATCAGTAGGCCCACTGCATTCCAGTATTTTGGATCAATGCCATTTGTAATAATCTAGATCAGTTTTTATTCAACGTTTATAAAACAGGCCATGTATCATAGGGTATATTTTATAGCAGATGGTATCTCCAATTCATTCAGCTTCCCCCCTTCACTTCCCTCCTCCGACATCATAGTGCACACTCACAAAAGCTCTTGAAAGTAGAGCTGAGCAGAATTTTTTTCAACAAATAGTAAAATTTCTGAAAAAGGGAGTTTCCAAGCAACAAAATTGTTCAACTGTGGCATGCTGAAAATGCAGCATTCTGTCTTCTAGAAACACCAGGTCTTGTAATTTGGATATTTGGAAAAGAAAAGAAAAAAATGAGGGGGGTGGTTCCTTTGAAAAGCATTTTTGTTTAAAAATAAAAAAATTTATATATATATATATATATCTGTACTGAAAAGGGTGATAAACACAGAGTTTAAATAACCAGAACACAAAGCACTTGTTTCAGGTCAGATTATCTTTTTGAGTTACCCTGGTGTCAGCTGTTGGGGATTCTTCTGTTTGCATATTATCTGTAATGATTCCCTTTTGACTTCATGAGAAGTGATTTTCATCAAGGTTTATTAACTTGGGGACTGATCTATGAGACCCAGTCTTTGTCAGGTTTGTCTCAAAACACAGCTCTAGAATGTGAGAAGACAGTTTCCTATTTAGCAACGTATGAGCCCTAAAGCCCATTTAAGTAAAAGGGGCTGTTCTCACACTTGAAGACAAGCAGATGCTAAAGCCCTGTGCTGGGTCACAACACAGCCTGCCAGCTGTCCAGAGGAATGCTGCACACCTCACTGCCATTCCTTTCCCTGAGATCATAATGGAGGAGATTGAGGATTTTCCTGAGATTAAATTACTAAGTGGGAATACAATTATTTCACTGTAATTTTACAAAACGTGACCAGTACCACTCTGGGGATACATAAATAGCTGAGAAGAATAAAGATTTAAGAAATATTTTAGCTTGGCGATAACAGAACCAAAGCACTTTTGAAAGTCTCTGCTTTAACCACCTGTCCTAAAAGCTACAAGTGTATGACTGGGGTTTACAGTGCCAAAGAAGTTCTCATACCTGCATTTCTGAGAAATCCCAGCTCATAGTCAGTGACAATTCTGGTTTCAGGATTATAGAATCCATCACCACAGTCGTAACATCCTGCTGGGATTTTTCGAGGAGGATCCAGATTGGTAAGCTGAGAAATGCCTAAATTAGAAACAACAACCAGAAAGGGTTTGCTCTATTTTGGCTGTTTTCCCCCCCCCACCTGCATTTGTGACTTCGCTCAAAATAACTATGAAATATTACATCTCCTTGGCGTTTGCCACAAAAACAACATCGTCGCTTTACAACGAGTTTTATAAAAAAGTTCTGACAATTTTGCTGACGGAGAAAAAGGAGAAATGCACGGAAAGATCGGGGTAAGAAGATCTCGCCCATCTCCCCGTGCCGCGACTCCGCCACGGAGCCAGCAGGGCACGGCGGCCCCAGCCGAGCACGGCAGCGCCGGGGACGAATCCCGCGCGCCGCGGCCGCACACCGCGCTCCGTTCGGCTCTCGGCGCTGCGCCAGGCCGCACCCCCCAGCCGCACGCTCGGGACGCGCACTAACGGCCTCGGCCGGCCCCGCCTCCTCGTGCCGGGCGGCCCCGCACGTCGCTACCTGCGGCTCTGAGCCCCGAGCGGATCTCGCTGTAGAACCTCCTGTCGTAGCCGTCGCAGTAATCCCACCTTTCGGCCGCGTATTCGAGGCCGTCTGCAAAAGTGAACTTCCCCTGCGAGGCACGTCCCGGGGTGCCCGGTGAGAGCCGGCGGCTCCCGGGCCGCGACCCCCGGTGCCGCCTGCCCTACCTCCACGGGCAGCCCGCGGTGCCACACCGCGCGGAAGGTGCCGCCGCCGGGGAACAGCAGCTCGCCCCGCCCGTGGAACGCGCCGTCCCGCAGCTCGCCGCGGTACTCGGTGCCGGTGGGCAGCGTGTAGGAGCCCCGTCCCTCCATCCTGCGGGAGAAAAGGGGCGGTCGGAACCGCTCTCCCCGCGCCGTCCCGACTCCCCCCGCCGGTCCCACCTGCCGCGCTCGGTGTCGCCGCAGAAGCGGCTGCCCGTCACCTCCATGGCGGCGCTGCGCGGCGCGGTCGTCATGGCAACGACGCCGCCGGGGTGAGCAGCCGAGCTCCGCCCCCCGCCGCGCCGCCGCAGGCGCGGTCCCGCCCTCCTAGCGGCGGCGCATGCGCGGTGTCGGCGGGGCGCTGAGGGGAGCTCAAGGAGAGCGGCGCCGCCATGCCCGGCACCGTGGAGGTGCCCTCCCTGGAGGAGCTCGATGTGCAGGAGGTGAGGGAGGCGCTGGGCTGGGCTGGGCTCGGCCTCGGCCTCGGCCTCGGCCTCGGCCTCGGCCGCGGCCTCGCCGGGCGCCGTTGAGGCGGCCGCTCCTATTGCCGCTTTGTCCCGCTGCAGGTGACGGTCAGCTCGGCCGTGCTGAAGGCCGCGGCCCACCACTACGGCTCGCAGTGCGACCGGCCCAACAAGGAGTTCATGCTGTGCCGCTGGGAGGAGAAGGACCCGCGGAAATGCCTGAGGGAGGGCCGGCAGGTCAACCAGTGCGCGCTCGACTTCTTCAGGTGAGCGCGGGTGCTCAGAGGTGTTGGATCCGCCCTGGAGGCGGGCAGTGGTGCTGAGCGGGGGGCGTCGTGCCTTCTGTGTTACCTGCTTGAAGTTGACCTTGTCCTTTCTCGCTGCTGCAGAGTGCCTTGCTGCTTATAGATATGTTATGAAATCTGGAAAAGAAGCTGAAATTCCGCGCTGTCACCTGATTCACGTGCACACTACTGTAATAGCTCTGTTAGCTTCAGAATTGAGTTCTTATGACAGAAGTACGGGTGGGGGCATGTGTCAGTGCCGGCGCTGTGTTCCTGGGCTGCCAGCACAGCGCCTGGCTCAGCCTGCTCAGAGCATGTCCTCTACTTTTGTAGTGGGCAGTGATCAGAGCCTTCCTCCTTTCTGAGGTGAAGACATCAAAGTAACTGGGAGTTCTTAGAACACTGTATATTGTATGCTATGTTAGTTAACCAAAGGAACATCACACGTGGGGGAGCCGCGTCCTTCTACTTCACAAGAACACCCTCCACATATTGGTGAAGTTGCTGCTATCCCTGCTTGTAGCCACAGTGATGCAAACTTCTGTGATGCTGGCATTAGGTTCTGTTTAATGGTGTTTCAGATACTGTCTTCTGACAGCCTTAGGTGGGTACGAGGAATTGCAATGAGGAGAATTCAGAAATTGAGGTTTGAATGAGTAAGAGAGGAAAATATTAACTATACCACTTGCCAAAGATTTTCTTTCCGCAATCTCTTACAGGAAGATTAAAGTACACTGTGCAGAGCCATTTACTGAGTACTGGACATGCATTGACTATAGCAACTTGCAGGAGCTCCGTCGATGCCGAAAGCAGCAGGCAGTGTTTGATAACTGTGTGCTAGAGAAGTTGGGCTGGGTGAGACCTGATCTGGGACAGCTCTCTAAGGTAACTGTCTGCCCTTTTGATTGGGTAATCAGATTCCTCTTTTCCTTCCTACATGCAGTTTTTTTGACCTGGTGTCAAACTTTTCTTCCATCTTAGAAGGTGATACATGAACTCAGCACTGGAAGCTTGCTGACTTTACCAGAAATCAAGACTCTTTCAGCATTCTCTAGCGTTCCTGGAAGACCTGCACTTTGCTCGTGCTTCTCCACCTAATTTACTTTTATCTAATGCAGAGATCCTTGCTTTAGCAGCGAAGCTCGCACGTTTGTGGACCTGTGACATAGTTATGTATAAAATGCCCTTCACTACCTTTTTTTTTTTTTTTTTTTTTTTTTTTAAACACTGGAGGTAGGAGTCTTTCATCCAATCCATGCTGCATCCTTAGCATGATCTGCTGGTGCTTCCCTTAACCTAACTTTTCTGTTAAACGCCATAGGAAGTTGCATAATTCTTTACTTTTTCTTTATAGGTCACAAAAGTGAAGACAGACCGACCTATCCCTGAGAATGCCTATCATTCTAGACCTAGGCCAGAGCCCAATCCACCTGTTGAAGGAGAGCTGAAGCCTTCTCCATTTGGCAGTAGGCTTTTTTTCTGGACGTGGTAAAGTGGGCAGACTGTGCCATAACTGAAATGCAAAGGTACATTGATTGCAAATGTAAATTGTCCAGTACATGTTGAGTATGACTTTAACTTTCATGATTAAAGATTAAAAAAAAAAAAAAAAAAAAGTTATGTGACTTAGCAGACTTTCTTTAAACATACATGTCTGTATTTCTTAGCTGCTATGATGTGTGAGTATCTCCACTTTGCTCTGTGTTCTCTGTATCCCACAGTCCTGGGGGCCATCTTAATGCCAGCTGTGATGGTTGCTCGATGGTGGCTGCCAGCCCATGTCTGAGATGTGTATAAATATAGTTTACATCTTTGCTGCTTCAAGTGATCAAAAAACAGTGTGAGAACTCTGTCATTTGCATCAAGTAGACTTGGAAAGCTAACAAGACATTAATGTCTTCCTGTACAATCTTGCAGCCAGTAATTGTGCAGATTTTTACCCAGGACCTGTCTAGGAGCAAGCTTTTAGTCTGAGTTGGTGGCTCTGGTGGGTGTGAGATCAGTACTGCTTTCGATAACAGGATCCTTCTCATTACCACCTACTTAAACCTCATGCCAGGTTTGTTGGTTACTTTTGTTTATTTTTGTTAATGGGGAATGCAAACTACTTCATCAGCAAAATCACAGTGAATCAACTCCTTTAAGAAAGGCTGCCTTCTAAAGGACCTTGTACTGTTAAGCGGTTTAAGAAGGTCCCTCATCTTCTGATGACCTGGCAGGGGCTTGGGCAGCGTTGTCTCACTGATTCCTTCTGATAGAGGAGTATGGCAGCTTTCTCCAGCTAACTTTTCTGCAGTATCCAATCTTATATTTCATCAGTCTAGTCTTTCCTGTGCTCTTCTCCTCCAATGACAAGAACCGTATCACAAAGGTCAGAAAAAACAAATGGACTTGTCTTCATAAAGCTGTGTGCAGTTCAGTTTGACCTGGGCCAGATTGGGTAGTCTGAACCACAGCAAAGACTTGAATGGTACTTTACTCCTTGAGTAGGCTAACAGTGAAATCGGGATCTGAAGATTTAATATCTCCTTGTTTGGGGTAGGATTAAGCTTAATGTGTCTGTAGCTGAAGCATGGATCCACGGAGCTAGAGGAAAAATTATATAAGCTTTATCTAAAAATAGCTTGTGTATGGTGTGCCTGATGGATTCCTGCTGGTTTCTATTTGGGTATGTAGACTGAGACTCAGAAGGCAGGTGCTGTGGCATACATGTTTGCATTTTAATGTACATATCATGCTGTCTTAACATCTACGTGTCTAAACCTTTGCAGTTTTTCCTTACAGGTGACTGCCATTATTTCAGAGCAGCCATATATTACTGAAGAAAAATAACTTCTTTTCCCCAGAGACTGAAATTAGAGGAAGTTTGAGGTCTAATTGCATTGATCTGTAGTATCATCAAGTAGAAGATGCGTATTCCTGTGATGTTAACATGTATTGCATCTAATCTTGTTGACCCATTCCATTACTTGGGCAACCTTACAAAAATATATTTTATATATTAGCAAGACATAGTAAGTAATAGCTTTAAATTGTCAGCATATTGTATGAAACATTTTGGAACTGAACATTTGCTTTTGAGTGGACATCCTGTAGTCAGCTCCTGATCATAGTTAGAGGTTTAGGTGGTTTTTTTTTTCCCTGTTAAATTCATTCTGAAAAGAATGACATTGGTAAGTAGGTGGGGGGGATGTGTTTAAAAATCCCATGCTTACATTGGCTAGTATGGGGGGGGGGGGGGAAGTACTGTAAGTGGGGGAAAAAAGGTTTAAGCTGTAGCCCCAACAGTTTAAGTCTAGGCATCTCTCCTGCCAGCTGAATCTCCTATGTTTTGGATTGCAGGCTGTTGATCCTGTAGTTATGTGTTGGCCTTGTTTAAAAGTCAGAATTAACTGCTTTCTTAGATTCCCAGTTGAGTTTCATGCAGGAGTGGGAAGGTGAATTTACAAAGAGTACAGCAGAGGAGGATAATGAAGTGATCGTAAAGTCAAGTGCAATTCAGCTGCACTGTGGGCACTTCTTCCATTAACTTCTTTGAGGTAATTAGTTCATGGATTTTATCTGTTGGCTGAATCTCTGCAAAAAGTCTTGCCAGAGGTCTGTTTCTTGGTGCTTTGGACAGTACCTGCATGTAGCTATTTCTGTTGAGGGTTGTTGTGTGGCTTTACTCAAATGTAGATTGTCCCTTTGGAGCTGTAATGTTTTTTTGGAAACTTTAGAACAAGTGAATGTCAAGATTGAGTAAAGACCATAAAACTGTTTTTGAGGAATGTATTGTGACGTTTTTTTGGCAGATGGAGAGCAAATGCACGCAGATTCAATGCAGATATTTTACTGGCAATGTGAGAAATGTTATTTGTTATGCTGTAGGCTCTAAGCTCTGCCAGAGCTTTTAATCATGTGTGAAATTAATAGAACTTCAAGCCAAAGTGATGGCAGTCTGCCCCGTGCCGTGGTCTGCATTGGGCAGAAAGCAGTCCCTTTCAGTGTGGATGGAAAGAGAAAAATCCTAGTGCAATTTCTAGTCTTTGTAAGGGAGGGGTGTGCTTACTGTGAGGTACCAGCATCACAACATTGTTCCAGAGGGAAAGCACCCTGCAAGGTATGTCTGGCAGCTTGACATCCCTGCTTCCACATGGTTCTGCTCCTTTCCCAGGGTGGAAGAGCTGGAGATGTTTTGGTAGCAGGAATGAGGGGAGTGCAGCAATAAGACCCTCTTGGCTTACAGCCACCAAACTGTTCATCTGAGAAAGCAGTGGGAAGGAATTGATTTTTAATAACCTCTCCTGCCTGTTTAATAATTCTATTGTGTGTCACTCATTCTTTTTAAAACAAAAAGACAACAAACAGACTTCTAGGATTCAATTTAGGTTGAACTAGCCTCTGAGACATTTGTGAGCTTGAGATTTGCTAGGACAAAAGCCTTTCATGTATTATTCCTCTGGCTTCTGTTGTTTCTACAATGGAGCCATGATAGCT